TGGAATTTAGGGAGAGGGGCATTTTTTTCACAGTGGACGAGAAGTTGTTGAAGTAAAGCCTTTTCCACTACCTTGGAAATGAATTGAAGATTACTGACTGGACGAAAATTTTTATAGACCAAATCAAGTCCAGGTTTTTCCAGTAGAAGAAAGACAACGGTAGTTCTCCAATTTTCTGGAACGTGACCACTGAGAAGAGAGAGATTTACCATTTCAGTGATAGGGGGCGCTAATACATCAAGACAAGACTTCAGTAGCCATGTAGGAACAGGATCGAGCCGAAAAGAGGCATTGGAGGATTCTCGAACAGTCTTAGACACTTCTTCGATGGATAGCGCGAAAAAACTCTCCCGATTCTCCTTAGGAGTAACAGGAATGAGTCTGGGTTCTTGAACTTGAAACTTGTCAAGATTTTCCTTTATGATTTCAATTTTTTTGAGGGTGAAGGTGCCAAATTTGTTTGCTAGCTTTGTGGGGTCAGTGTGCTCTGGAAGAGCCGTCTCAAGTGGTTACCTACACAAAGAATTGACCACACGAAATAACTTGCGAGAGTCACCCGCACACTGATCAATTAGGTTTGAATATTAATTCACACGTGCAGATTTAAGAAATGCAGAGTACCGATTACGAACTTTATGGTAATTGTTCCAGTCACCAGAGAGGTCAGTTTTCACGGCTCTCTTTTCAAGGCGACGACGTTAACGCTTGAGTTTTTAATGTCATCATTAAACCATGGGACCTTTGGACGATTTATCATAGTCCTTGTTTTAAGCGGGGCAAAGTTATCCAGTATGTCAGTAAGGGTCTTATTAAAGTAGTCGGAGAGTGTATCAATGTTGTCCCAGTGTACGCTTGCACAAAGCATAGAGGAGGCAATATCAGCTGAGAACGCAGCAATATCAATATTTTTGAGCAGGTAATTTAGTGTTAACAACTGGGTTGAAAACGTAAATTAGCCACCGTAAAGAGTAAAAAAGCTGACGTTTCGAGCGTTAGCCCTTCGTCAGAGCGATGGGATCGCTCTGACGAAGGGCTAACGCTCGAAACGTCAGCTTTTTTACTCTTTACGGTGGCTAATTTACGTTTTCAACCCAGTTGTTAACACTAAATTACCTGCTATACTCTCCCACCGACGCAGCACCACAGTTTCTTTAGAAACTTACCCCTTCATTCAATATTTTTGAGTTTACGAAAAGTCAGTTTTTTGCATGACAAAGCTGGTCGTGAGAAACCAATAGGACACTGAATAATAAATGATCGGAGATGGGAAAAGTAGTTTTAGGGGAAGCAAGAACAATATCATCTGAGGAACGAGTAATAATTAAATCTAAGGTAAGACCCGATAGATGGGTCGGACCCGAAACGTGTTGCGAAAGATTGAACGTTTCTAGTAAATCCATAAATTTCTTGGTGTCATTGTCACGGAGGTCATCTAAATGAAGGTTGAAGTCTCCAGAGATAACAAGGGCCTCGGGACACATAACAACATTCTCTAAAAACTGAGAGAATTCATCAAAAACAGACAGAGGTTGAAACGGGGTGTAACGAAGAAAATGGAGGTCGATACACTATCACATATCTCATAGAGCGATCGTGCACTTTAACAGCCCACTCTGAAAATTCAAAGGACTTGTTTTCCTTCCCATCCCCTAATGAGACTTTGAGAGAGTCTCGAAACAGAATCCCAGTACTACCACCACGGTTGTGCGATTATCTAGGAAAATTCTTGAAGAAATAGCCAGCCACAGATAACTGAGCAATACTGACGGAGTCAGCGTCATTTAACCAGGTCTCGGTAACGGTGCAGAGGCCGATGTCATTTTCAGCGACGTGGTCAATGATGCTCTCGATCTTATTCCTAACAGATCTTGAATTGAAGACCGCAAAGTTTAGAATTGAACGCGGATTAACGAGTGTTCACAGGTGTGATGACGTAGAGGTTATTTGAAATGGATCCTTTATGCAAATTCTCGCTTCCTCGGCTAGTGCGTGGATAAGAAACCAGGGATTCAATTCTGTGAATATTTCTAGCTTTCCTTTCTCTGACTCGACGGCCAGCGCGGCATCTCCTGTAGGTCGATGATGATGGCGATGAACAAGGCCAGTGAGAAAATCGATGAAAGACGTCTGAATAGTAGGAACTACAAATTCCAACATGGAGGGTGTCAGCATTATTCGTAGACAACAGTTTATTACCTGGATACGAGACCAGGCCAGAAACCGTAGGTAGGTAGGTTAACAAATAAATTGGTTTCTTCTGCAAGGGACCAGGATTTAGCTCAACATCCGTGTGGACAGTTAAATCTTTTGGTAAAACCAAACAGGTCGGAACATGTCTGTACCAAACTGAAATAGGCCGCCTCGGAAACTTTAGTTCTTGGTTATTCTTGATAAAAGATGTCTTTGCGTTGAACTTGGTCAATATTGGATAGCAGAGGCCTTTAGGTTGCCATACCATATAAAATTGTAAGATATAAAACAAGTTCAAAAGCGAAATAAAGCGGAAAGTACGAACATAAACGGCTGCTATCTTGATCGGCGCTTACAGATTCTCAAATATCATATAATCAACAATAAATAATCATGATCGTTTCACATTTAGCTACCATTTAGGAAACGATTCATTTCTCAATCTCAACGATTACTCAGTACATGAAACAGTTTTTCGTTTTGTTCTGTTTTCTTTTTCTTATTTTCACTATTTAGTATAACAGTCAACAATGGAATCATCCAATGGTAGTAGTTGGTAAGGTTTTGTAGGTCGCAATTTTTTCTCACCGTTAATTTGGAAGTGTGACTATAGAAAACCTCGTCATGTGGACGTTGAGGAAAGTCTTTTTATCTACGGTTTTAATTATTACGTCGTCATATCGAAATCTAGTCAGACCAGGAATTCTAGATATAAAAGAAAATGACACACTTCTTAAGTGGAAAAATCGCCAAATTTTTCGGTCGACCATGTAAGGAAATTATTTGAGTCCGTGAGATCTTTCTTCCTTTTTAAAATTTTTTAACCCAGGCCGCCTGAATCATCGCAGGTAAAGGACTGGGGTTTAGGCTTTCACGGTTGAAACAGTAATGAATCCCTACTTCAACGTACAAAATTGAAAGCTGTTCGTTACATATCAGCGATATTTCGACAATGGAAAGGGAACTTGACACAAGTTCGTTTTGTTATTCGGTGTTCTTATTTCCTTCCTATTAAAACAAACACATCACCTTTTCTCCCTATAATAGACATATATTCACTTGTTGTTTAAACGATTTTTAAATACTTTCGTATAAGTATAAAAAACCCTGCCCAAAATATCTGTCAAAAATTAATGGATCTTGATGAGGACGCCCTATTTCATTATCCTTCTAAAGCAAAAACCAAAAAGACGGCGGCGTTTATTACTGAAATTCGAAAACACCTGTTGGCGTCATAAAATTTATCAAATTGTTTGTTTTCCTGGGTCTTTTGCCTGGCGGGGGTAAAACTTCATATATTTCGTACTGAGGTTTTGTTACAATAATGACGCAGAACCAATAACCAAAAATAGATACAGGAAGTTTTCTCGAGACTAAGCTTTCAAACCTTTCGCTCATGCTCCAGTTTAAGCTAATTTGTTGTTTCAGAATTGAAAAGAAATTTGAAAGTTTACGAGTTAAAAATTTTCGTTCACAGCACCAAAAAGCGAAAGCAGTGATAAAGTACGTGGCATCAATCTTCAACCTTAATGAAAAGCTCTCTTACTATCTGTAACAATTGAGAGGTCGCTGAACAACAGTTGATACTTTTGTTTCGTAATAAATAACGGATTGGTCAACAAACTAACACTTCATGCTATCTTGAGAAAAATACAACAAATGACAAACATTTTGTCTCTAAGAGTTAGCAAGGATAAGCTCCGAATTCAATAAAATTCCACTAAGCTAGCCTTTCTTGAGGGTCCCCGATAGGGTTCTTCAATCCAGCGATCCCGGCTAAAATTTTCTCTCAATCCCGTAATCCCGACGGTTTATACCGGCCAATCCAGATCCCGATTATACAAGGTGGGTGGTATCGATGATTTTCTCAACCGGCATTGATCTATAGAAGTCATTGGTAACTGTAAGGCGTAAGTTTATCTCTTTTCACTAAAATGATGATATCGTTCATTTTAGAAGTTTTTAAAGTATTGTTCGAATAACCTACACTAATCACAGTAACGACTTCCTTCCGTTAAAATTCGATCACGGATAAACGTATCAATACGTGGAAACGTGGAAGGAATGAGTGAAACCGTTGCGGAAACACAACGGTTAACACGCGTTTCCGCTGTCGGTTTGGTGACGTTTACTCGTGTTTCCGTTGCTGCGCTCACACTGACGCAAGTAACAGATATGCTA